GGGGGGGGGGGCAGGCAGCCTGACCCCAGGTTTTTGCCTTGCTGCATCTTGATCCCCTGCCCGATGCCAGCCTTTTGCCCCCTGCCGGAGGCTGTGAGCAGTGAGACCTGGTGCCGATTCCCCCGCCACCCTCAGGCCGTGTGCTGGGTCCTCTTCTGCTCCCTGGCTCCAGGCCTATTCCCTCCATGGCCCCCTGGATCAGCTGAGAGCAGCGAGGGAAACAGCCCAGAGCCAGAGAGCAAAACAGGACCCAGGGCTGTCTGCCGGTACTCCATTTTAAGACAAGGCTTCATTTGCCTCCTGATGAATGGGAAGAAAAAAAAAAAAAAAATCTCATCTTGGGACTGAGCAAATACGGCATTTATAACCTGTAAAACACCTGACACCAAAGCCAAATAAATGACTTGGGCCCTCTTTAGAGGGTCATTGGATCATAGGAAAACAGGGCTGAATGGGCCCTTGTGGAGGTCCTGGATCCAGTGTGTGGGCACGGCTGGTGTGCCGGATCGCACCCATGGACCAATCCTGTGGGTGGATCCTGCAAACAAGATCTGGTCTACAGACTGGCCCAATACCACCCATCTGGCTCCAAGGCCAACAGACTCAGCAGCATTACTGTAGAGCCACGTGGTTATAAAATATGAATGGTTTTGCAACATTGCCAACATAGGAAAAGTTGGAAATCGGGTGAAAAAAAATGATCAGAAGTACCAATGATATTTTCACAAATGGAAAACGGCTCCTTATTGAAATCTGCTGAACAAGAGTTTTGGAAATTGTGATTTTTCTTCTGATTTTATAACCACCACTAAGAGGCGATACTGGTTGAGGTCTCTAAGGAACATGACTTGACTGTCTCTGGTAACCCTCTTCATCGAGGCATTGTCATATTTGGGAATCTGGATCACGTTTCACCCCATGGTCAGATTGCTCTGGTCGGGGAGGGGGTTGCCATATTACGTAGCAGGGGATGCAGCCTCTACCTGGGTCTCCTGGGCGCACATTAACAACCTTTTATAGAAGTAGGACGTTGGGTGCTGTGGTTCCCCTGCTTTACCTGTGGCAGGTTTGAGTGTGATGTCTTGTGCTATGTCAGGGTTGACTAGCTTATGCGGAGCTTAGATTATGGATTGTACGGGATGGTTTGGACAGGGCTGATCCTGCCTCAGGTAGGGGCTTGGACTCGATGTGATCTCCAGAGGTCTCTTCCAGCCTGACTTCTCTGTGATTCATTAATACCCTTTACTAAGCACAGTGGTATTTGCTGCAGCGAGCCAACTTGTCAAGGGTCTCGGCTTTGACAACTATGCAACTTTGTCCTCTGGATCCCCCGAATCTTGCTGTCCAAAGCCTGGATGGAAACTTCATTTATGAGGGAGACAAGCCTGCAGCCTGGCCGCCTGGCACATTACCACTGCCTTCAGCCCTTGGCAATTGCTTTCTTGCCCTGTTTTACAGCCAGTACGCTTGCCAGCCCTCCCACACTCCTTCGGATCCCTCCCTCCATTTGCTTTTGGTCTGGTGCTTCCCATTTCCCCTCCCAGGCACCAGGAGCCAGTGGACAGACGCAATGCATTTTATATGAGCTATTTTAGTGTTAAATAGCTATTAAGTCTATCATAAAACTTTGTTTCCTTGGCCATGCACTAAATGGGATATATGCTGTACCCGTCAGTAAGAATAAAAGTGGTGCTGGACCCACATGCAAGGTTCAACCCCAGCAGCCAGGGTTAAAAGCCAGGATATTATTGCTGGACAAGTTCCACTCAAATACCTATCGACTGCCATTGGAGATCACCACTAACCCTTGAAGTACTAGGAGTCGGAGAAAGGGAGGGAGCAGTAAGGAAAAAGCCCTTTAATTCACGTTTTTTTCTTTCCATTACAGGCTTTTGATCTCTTCCCTAATTTCCTATCAGTTGCTTTAGCACAACCGCACCTTTCCCCAGGTCATTCAATCTCTGCTTAATTATCTTAACTTGCATTGCAACCTACTCTGCAGTTGGAGAAACAGATGTAGATGAAACATGGGCCTTTGAGGGCCAGTTTCCATCTTATGCAACAATGTACATTGATGGCAGGGTTTTTTTGCGATCTTCACTTGACTTCACGGAGCCCTGATAAGAATTGTGAGTAATCCTCCCCAAATTGTAACTAGTTCTAATGATCTGCGACTGCAGTATGTTTACAGTGGATCACACAGTGCTTCTCCGATTGCTTAAATTATATCTACCAGAATCACCCAGTACAACTAGCATCTGCTGAAGCATTTTTGGATGAGACATCAGATTTAGTGTAGCAGAGAGAGGTCTCCTCTAGAGAACATCCTGAAATGGACTCAGATGGGAGCCAGACACATGAGCACAGCTGCTTCAGAGATCTGGGAATCACAGCAGAGTCAAGTTATTTAAACACCACTTTGTTGGACAACTATCTATCCCTATTTCTCTATTTTCTGCCCTTTCATTGTCAATGCTGGTCTCTCAAAGTCCGTTGCTTTGGAAGATCAGCTGTAGTTAAATGGAAGAGCAGAATTTCTCACCATGAGAGCAAACTCAAACTCCTGCACACGGAGGAATCGTTCCAAGAACATTTACAGTCCCTTTTCTCGTGGTCTTCCTACACAAAGTACTAACTCAAGCTTGGGTAAGAGCAGCTAAGGTCAATCATCCTGCCACCGGGATAAATCTGCCAGCTGTAGAGTCTGTTTGAAAACAGAATAAAGCCAGGGCTGCCTTACCTGTTTGGTCTTCTCCAGTTCCTGTTTAAGGAGGTGATTTTCCTGTTCTAGCGTATGGGTTTGAACCTTGACTTTAGACAGCTCTGCCTCCAAGGAAGATACCAAAGCTGATGACTGAAGACAGGCAACATAAAAGGAAGAGATACAGGATTACATGGGAGCAACCCAGAGAGAGAGTTTGCCAAGCTGTGCTGGGTTCATACTAAAACTGTTGGATCTAGCAACAGAAACATTCAGATTGCCAAGCAAGGAAACCAGGCACTAGACATTCCTAGGTGAAGCATGAATTTAAGGTGAAGCATGTTCTTCCATCTATTTTAATCCCCCTTTTAAAAAAAAAATGCCAGACAAGAATTTCTTTGGCTCATTTTCCCTCCATCTCCACTTTTATGTACAAACCTATCTGCAAATGGGACTCGAAAGGATCAGTTTAGAAAGACCATACGCAGATCGAGTAGTTGTAGACTCGATCGGCAAATGCACACAAAAGTCCACTGTAGAAATTCAATAGCTTAATCGTACCTTAACTTTACAGTTTTCCAGTTCCTCTTTCAGCTTAGATCTCTCCCTTTCCCATTCCTCCAAAGTACATTTCCCCGCTTCCTTCTCCTTCTGCTTCAGCAGCCTTGCCAGCCGTTGATTCAGATCCTGCACATCCACTTGGTTTTTGGAATTTTTTTGCCTTAATTCTGCACTTTCAAACTCCAGCTGCTGGTTCCTGGCTTTCATATCCAACACCTGAGGAAAACCAGGAAGTATCAGAAATAACTAAATAGTTTTATACCAAACTGGTTTAGGACCACTTTCTTCCATGCTAATCAAATGGCTCCCGTCAAGGTTTTCATTTGTAATTTGATGGCATGACCGTTATCCAACTCATCTCAGTAATATACACATGTACTTGCTCGCTATAGACTATTTCACTTCTTTATTCCTTTGGTGCATTCATTTTAGATCAAGCAGTACCAGGCTACAAAGCAGTGTTTCCACTGGCAGTGCATGCATTATGTCTTCAAATATCCAAAGGGCAATAGCAGAGAGGATGAAGAAGGTCTTTTCTCCATGGCCACAAAAGACAGAACTAGGCGCAATGGCCTCGAGCTGCAGCAGAGGAAATGTAGGCGGGAGATTAGGAGGTACTTTCTGACTATGAGGGCGGTCAGGCACTAGAACGGGCTGCCTAGAGAAGTTGTAGACTAGCTATCCCTGAAAATTTTCAAGAGCTGGTTGGACAGACACTTGGCTGGGATGGTTTAATTGGGATGATCCCGCCTTGAGCAAAGGGCTGGACTAGATGACCTCATGTGGTCCCTTCCCGCCCTTTCTTTTGATCTTATGGTCATATGTCAGCTTTGCAAAACTATTCAGAACATTTCTCATATGCAGCTTGATGTATAGCAATATGGTCACAGGTGCTTCAGCACTGCTCCTAGACCAAGAGGAACTAGTAAGTGGCTGGTCTTAGGCGCACGGACAAGATACACCATTGGGTGGTGGAGAGCTGCCCACAAGGGAGACAAAGAAAAGAATTAAGTGCTTCCCATTTGGAAACCTCTTCTGGCTCAACATAGACAAGGCCTTCAAAGGTCTGAGAGCTAATACGAGGTTGTTATGCCCAAGGGGAAAACTGGAGAGAAACCTCACACCAACACCAAACAGCAAACAAGAACCTATGGCCATTTCAGATCAGTCGTTGAACTTTTAGATGCATCAGGATGATTCGCCTGCATGTGTGTGACAAAAGGAGAGAAACTCCCTTATGCAATGAAGGTCTTTCCAGAAAAGAAACCTCAGACTTCATACCTGTTTCTTCAGGTTATCCGCCATCTTCTGCACAGCCACTTTCTCTTTTCTCTCGGCTTCTATTTTTTGCCTGAAAACATGGACATTGAACAAAAGCGCAGTTAGCACCAAGTTGCTTGTTAATGTGTTTCCGTAAGACTGTTTTGGTTTTTACCATCTAACCATTAAAAATGGCCTTTGCTGAAAAAAAACAACAAAACTACTCTCAAAAGGCATAAAGGCAGAGGGCAGCTGCATGGTTAGTAGCTCTCCTTCTCTCTTTCCCAAGGGACTTGGAGATCAGTTCCTAACCCCGCGTGCCACTTTCCGAAAAGACTATGATGGTCTATACAGACTATTGCAAGTCTGATAGGGAAAAGAGCTTGCAGTGTAGCCACATGAAAATGCTATTCTTCCTCCAAACCCCTACATGCTTCCTCATTTAAAATGCTTTCAGGCACAAAAATTTTAGCACATCAAAAGGGTGCAGTTACACATGTGCTTTAATGCACATTAGCCTATTTTAATGTGCATTGAAGCATCACAAAAACCTATGCTCTTTAGCTAATGTGCATTAAGATAGGCTAATATGCATTTTTCTAGTACCTCACAATGGACGTACTAGATTTAATGTGCATTGCCTAAAGCGAATGAATTGAATGTGTAGACATGCCCAAAGCCAGCAGAAAGCAGGTAGATATAGTTGCCAACTAATGTGAGCAGATGGTTGGAGGCAAAGCACTAAATCCGTGGAGTACATGGGAAGGCAAAGAGGGTGTGGATAAAGTGTTATTCCCCAAGTCCCAGAATACATGAACTAGGGGGCACCCACTGAAATAATCAGAGTGCAAGGTTTATAATAAGCAAGTAGTCCTTTTTTTAAATACAGCGTGTAGTTACTTGTAGAACTGGCTGCTGCAGAAGGTTGTAAAGGTTCAAAAAAGGATTGGACAAACATGGCAGACACGTCCGCTGGAAACTGGTAAACCATTGGAGAGGTCTCCTCTGACACCCCTAAAACAATGATGGACAGTGCTAGGGAGAATGACTCTAGATACGCCCCATCATAAACTCTCCTTTCTAAAGCACGTACTACTGCAAAACAGACGATAGACTCTGCTACTCGGACTTTTAGGCAAACCTCGTCTAATGAGACAGATTTTCCTAGGTAGGGATGAGCAGAAGCAGCAAAGGCAGGTCTGAGTACACGCAGCAGCTCAGGAAACCTCTGCTGTCCAGACTGGATTGTGAATGCAGGTGGATAAAAGTCGCATTTAAATTCCAACAAGCAAAAGATCTCGGGGACAGTCTTTTTACATCCCTTGGCCACAAAAGGGGGCAAATTTTCTGTCTGCCTTACAACGCGCATCAAACCAGGAAACACGTGCAGTATTCACCACTCTGAATCCTTACCACATTTCTTCTCGAGATCCACTCAGTTCTCTTAATTTGAGGTGAGAAACACTACCTTCTTCATTCAATAGTGCTATTTCATTCTTCAGAAGAGCATTTTCTTCTCTGAGCTTCTCAGCGTCACATCTACCATGTAGAGACAAGACAGGCATCAGAAAACCATGCTCTTGTACTGCTCCTTGCCTCATTACAGTCTCAAATCACTCGTGACCATAAAAACCACAGAGTGACCTGTGATAACTATTACAGGGATGGGATTTCGTTATCTTTTATATAAATACTCCTCAAGCATCACATTTCAGAGCAGCGCATAGGTGCTTTTTGAGTTGTACGTATAAACGGAGTAAAATACAAACTTAAACTTGAAATCATATTTCAGTGCAAATTACTCCAATTCAGTAAAAAGCTCAGTGCATAATTGTGGGTTATACAGAGCATTTAGTTTTCAAATTACTTTACAAATAACAAGTTTAAACAGCTTGAAAACTATTGTTATGTAGCATTTTGCAGTATAATATAGTAGAACAGCTCTTTTAGGAATAGCAATTCAATAAGAGGAATACCAGCAAAGGAAGAAGCAAAATTAGACATGCCTTTGCGGTTTTAGATAAGTATTCTTTAAAAAAAAATAAAATACGATAAATACCTAGAGGTGTTGTAATACTGGAAAGGACCACTACCGGCTTCCCATAAGAAATGTCAGAGAGTTAGGATCAATTTGTATAGTTTTACCTAATCTCAAAAGCAGCACTTACTGAAACAAAAATGCATATAATTTATGGCATGTTGTGTCTGACTTATGCTATTCACCATATCATATGCTTAATGGATGCCAAATGATTTAAGTGGCCTTATTCCGAGAAAAAATTTTATGATTTTCCTGCATTAACTGACGTTTAAGAAAACTGCGGCTCCCTTAGCATCTCGGATTGCGTTCAATACCGACACAGAACTAAGACACAAGAGGCGGAGGGCTGAAGAGACATTAGTATGCAAATTAAAGAGCTCTCTGGAAAAGTTCCTGTACTTTCACATTAAAAAAAGTTGGTTAGGTTCAACGTGGAAGCTATTCTGCAGGAAGAAACGCATTGAAAAGTGAGCAAGTAGTTGAGCAATCACCTTGCTTTCCCACTACCCATTGCGGAACAGTTGCAACCTACCGCATTCGCCCAGCATTCAAATTTCCCAACTTTCCTAGTCCAGGTTAAAGTCGTTTGCTCACTGCTAACTAGCATCATCACTAATTAGCATGAAGTTGTTTGCTCGCTACTAATTAGCATCCAAGGAGCTGTCGTCTAGTCAAGGTTAATCTACTTGTTAATGTGACAGAAGCACACGGGAGTCAGTAGCGGTTACGTACGGGTCAGTGAAAGGCGAGCGGGTTAGTTTTCTAAGCGCGGCGAGCAGGCGGGTTAGATCTCCGAGGCTCCACAAAGACGTCCTACAAGACGGTTTGGAAGCGTACGTTACCTCAGGAGCTCCACTTTTTGCTGCAGGTCGCTGCACGTGCTTTGCAAGTCGTGGATGGCTGAATTCAACTCCTCTTTGCCGCCTTGAGCCCACGTGTCTTTTTCCTGCACCAAGGCGGCCACTCTCTCTCTCAGTTTTTTATTCAGCTCTTGCAGTTCCCTCTTCTCCGCCGCCATCTCCTTCGAGGCGCTTTCGCACTGCCCGTGCTGGTCTTGCAGCACGTGAAGCCTTGCAGTCAGGGTGTCCAGTTTTCCGAGCGTGCACTGCAGTCCGAGGTTCTCGCTGCGCACGTCCATTTTTTCCTGCGCATCTGCCATTTCTTTGAGCTTTTCTAGGAGCTGTGTTTTTTCCTGCCGGAGTTTCACAATTTCTTGGCTACTTTCTTCCAGCCTGTGCTGCAGGCTTGTGAGCCTAGGTACGTACCCTTCCAGTTGACTATTTTTTTCAATTAACTGTCTCATCTCAGATTTCAGGGCCTGGTTTTCCAGCTGGATTTCTTCTTGCAATGCCAGGAGTTTCAGCTGCACCACTGATCTTTCTTCTAGCTCTTCCGTCTTGTCCCTAGGCCAAGGTACTAGATGTTTCAGTTCTCCATGCTCTCTTTTTGCAGCTCCATATACCTTCTCATGCTGGAGAGGGGCTTCGGTTCCTTCCTCAGCCTTTGTTAGCTCAGTCTGCCACCTTGACACATCAGAACAAAGCCCTGCACTTCTTGCAGCCAGGTTGGTATTTTCCTGAAGACAGTCGCTCTCTCCTTGATCATCTTCATACATCTTCAACTTGGGAACGGTCTCCAGGACCTTCTCAAGCTGTGACTGCTTCCTTTGCAGCACGGCGATTTTGGAAGCCAGATCTTGCTTCTTGTTGGCAGCTTGACTACATTCTGCTTCCAAGCCCACCACACGCTCCAGCAGCTGACAAATCTTCCTTTTAAGAGCGTGGTTTTCCCCTCTGGTTTCTTCATACGTCTGCTCGAGGCCGGAGTGAACCTCAATCATTTCTTCCAGTTGCTTTGTTTTCACCTCCAACAACAGAAGCGGGTTCCAGTCTGATCCCTTGTCCATCTTGTTCCAGTCATCTCGCAGGTCGTCCAGACTGCTGGCATTGCTCCCCTCCGGACCCATCTCATCTTGCAGCTTGGGTTCTTCAATCTCAGCATCTACTTGGTCACGACGTGACGGCTGCACCCGCTCTTGCTCCAGCGTTTGTAACCTCTGCCGCAGCTTGGTAAGGTCAGAGGCCATTTTCACGTTCTCTTTCACTGCCTGCTCATGCACTTTTTGAAGGGTTATAAGAACATTTGCGTCTTCCTCCAGCAGCTGCACGTCGGAGAGTGCAGAAACTTTGTCCTTTATCGCTGCATATTTGTTTGCCAAGGCGCTGTAGTCATTTTGCAGTCTGGAGAAGTTAAGTGCTTCCTGCTTCAATCCCTTTACTTTTTCTTGAAGACCCGAGATCTCCAAACTCAGCTCTGCCCTCTCTCTTTCAGCCCGATTGTGCATCTCTTTGTTCACGCCCTCGAAAGCCTGAAGTTTGGAATTCAGTTCCCGTCGCTCTTGCTCATATTCGGTCTCAAGTTGTTTGAGCTTTCTATTTTCCTCCATCATAAATGCATGCTCTTCTTTGTCTCGTAGCTCTCTTTCATAGTTGCTTTGAAGCTGCCGTATCTTATTATTCAACTTGCTCTCTTGTTCTTTCGAAGCATTTCTCAGATCTTCCAGCTCCTTTTCAAGCTGCTGCTTCTCGCACACCAACTTGTTCACCTGGTCCTTGAGTTGCTTCTCCAGGAGCTCTCTCTCCTGGGTTAGCGCAGAAGAGGCAGCCTTTTCTTTCTCCAGGGCCGCCTTCAGTTGTTCTTGGGCTTCAGCAGATTCCTGGACTATCTCATCCTTTTCAAATTCCCACTGGGATTTCTCTTCACAGTGCTGTTCCCTGAGTTCACGCAACTCTTGCTGGTAGCGCTCTTCGAGCTTTTGCATTGTTTCTTCATACTTGTTCACAAGCATTTGTCGGTCAACAGAAAACTGAGTTTCTGTACGAGACATTCTTCTATTATACTCAGTCTCTGTTTTTTCCCTAAACACGGTCAACATAACACATTACTCCCAACTGAGAAAGATTAAAATGTCCGTTTTCAAACTATTCAATAAAACCATTGGAATTGATATATTTAACCAACTTTTAGCCTGACCCATTCAACCACTGTTCTTGCTTCTGTCAGCCAGGGTTAAATTCAAGATACAGTCTACTGGGACTCGTACATCTAATTGCTTTAAAAGGAATAATTCACGGAGCATCCTTCGAGGGGGCCTTTTATACAAATAAAAATTAAGCTCCAATCCTGCACACGGATTCATGGGAGTGGACCCCATGGTGGCATTTCGCATGACGACAGGCGTCTATCGTCATGGAGCAGATTGCAGAATGACAGCCTTGGGTCTCGAGCTGGAGAGCTGAACACATTTCTTTGTAATGCTCTAAATGCACAAAGGCTGTGCAGCAAGGGGCACCGAATGCACTCCACCACTTAACTGTGCCCCTATAAGTCCTACTAACAAGTGTGATTTTATTTATTTATTTTTTTTAAATCTACAGCGTTACTCATAGAGAATTAAAATCAATACAACTGAATACCACGTCCAAAATAAAACTAGAAGTAAAATCCAAGAGCTACCATACTACAAAAAAGTCACGGCTTGACAGGCCCTCTACCTGGGATCTCTTGGGTGTATATTCACAATCTTTTACAGGAGCAGGGCGTTGGCTGCCGTGGTGCCCCTGCTCCACCTGTGGCAGGTTCGGGTGTTATGTCTTGTGTTGGTAGTTTTATTAAGAGGTTAGATTATAGATTTGTATGGCCTGGTTTGCATAGGAATGATCCTGATTCAGGCAGAGGTTGGACTAGATGTGACCTCTAGAGGTCCCTCCCAGCCCGACTTCTTGCATGTTCTAAAAATTGGGAGTATTAAAGTCAAAGGAGATTAAAGATCAGGAATATTTTCTGCACTAGCCTTGCCTCTGTGACCCACTAGGCACTCATCCCACATAGTCACGAGTAACAGCATGGGCTTCTTTATTCTATTCTCACCTTTCCTCTTGGAGCTCCTGCCTGTGCCTTTCCAGAAACTCTTGCCGCAGCTCCTCCTTGTCCATCACGTGCTGCTCCATCAGCCCTTTCAGCTGCTCGTGGAAGTTTTGCTCCAGCTCCCCTTTCTCTTCTTGCAGCGTCTGCACCAGAACTTGCATCTTCTCCTCTAGCCAAGCACCGTTCTGAATCAGCTCCTCTCGCTCCTGGCTGAAGCTCTCTTTCACCTGCTCCATTTTAACTCGCAGGTCTTCTTCATGGTCCAGCGCCAGTTTTTGGAGATTAGCCTTTTCCTCCTCAAAGGTCATCTGCAATTGGTTTCTCTCTTCATGGTGTTGACGGACAGTCCTTTCCTGTTCCTCCTTGAGCGTCGCTGCCTCTCCCTTGAGTCCTACGATTTGGTTTTTAAGGCCACTTACTTGGTTTTCCAGCATTTGCATCTCTTCGTTGTATTTCCTCCTCATGTCTTCTTGCTCCTTTTCACAATGAGTCTTGGTCTCATCTAGCTGCCTTTCATAATGGCTCATCTGTGTTAAAAAGAAAGTTGCAAGGATCTGTTTTCTCTTTAGCAGGAGTGACACCCTCACTTACACATTAATGCCTTCAATGCAAAGTATTCACTGTGACTTTTTTTATTTACACACCAATAAAATCCCTGTTTCTTTGTTGCACGCATTTGTGAAAGTGGAGGCATTGTGTAGGAGCTTAATTTGCTCTTGCAAGCCAGGAAGGATGGGTCTACACCAAAGTTTGAGGGCTAACTTTTACTCAGATTGGTCATTTTTTCCCCCAGGTTGTCTTTCAGTCAAGCCTTTTATCACGGATCCTCCAAGAAATTCGAAACAAATGAGATCATCTCTCCTAGGAAAAATCCCTGAACCCTGGAGCTTACTGCTATGACTTCCCTCCCACCAAACCTGTATCACAAACTGGAGGTTGTCAGTTTTGACAGATTATAAACTGGTGGGGCCTGAGACTTGCATTCCTCCTCCATTGCCATATCCAACAATAGGGGCAGGCGGGAGGATAGTGCTGGGTTTTAGACTGCCGTGGGATGGGCCACACTGGATTAGGGTCAGGCTGCTTAAGTTACCGATACAGCCGTCCACCAGTTTTTCAAGCTAACCACTGCTCTAAGCAGCCAGAGGGAAGTGACTGATTTGGGACAACCACTTGGTGGTTCTAACACGGGTAACTCCATCCTTCAGCAGACACGTTACTATTTTTCACTAGTGGGTAATGTTACAGACTGTGAGGCTACATCACTGGTTGGTGATGCTACCAGACCGTGATGCTACAGCCTCCTGCAATGATGAGTACGGCACATGCGATACAAGTCTGGAGGGAGCAGAGCAGGTAGAAGCAGCCTCAACTCTGACCTGGGGGTTGCAGCTTAAATGGGAGGAAGAAAAAAGAGCAACTGAGCCCTGGTAAAGACCACCTTGCTCCCAGCAGGGCCAGGAAGGGGGTACAGCATCTTCAAGCTTTATTTTTAAATGAAAATAGCTTACTGCATCTTCAAGCTCTTGCTTCAAGTGATGTAGATCCCTGTGGTGCTGCTCCTTCATTTGTTCAATGACCAGTTCTGCTTCTATGCTCATGTTTAATGGATTACAATCCTCTGAGCCCAGTCCTGTAAAAGAAAGGGTGTATTCTTGAGACCCTGCATTTCTGGATTTTTGAAACACCCCACCTCATCTACTTCCCTAGGAGATCAGATTTCTGCCCCGGCTCCAGTGATCCCAGCTACTCATGGCGATTAGCACTTTCAAATGTTAATTATAGCTTTAATACTTATAAAAGCAGTCACTAACAGGACTGTACAATACTTCCTCGGTACTAAGTATGGAACAGAGGACCACTTCCTGGAGTCTCAGCTCCCAAGAGTGCAGGTTTGGAAGGAGAAGGCAGACATAGTGGAAAGGTACCACATGAAGGTCACCACTACAGTCTACCTCTCCTGCAGTCAACAGACATGGGCTTCAGTCTACAGAATAAGTCCTCTGGCTTCATAGCCTTGCATCCACTGAAATTGTAGTGTGCTGCATGAAGGCAGTGCAGCTATGCGCTCTCCACAGGTAAAGCGGATGCCTCCGCGACAACTTCTTGTCTCCAGAGTTTACTTTGCCACTGGAGCATTTTGTCCAAGATGTACGGGTGGATTCAGCCATGGTGCAGTGCAGCTGCACTGAGCCAGAAAACTGGCCCATCATCTGCCTGGTCTCACGATATACGCCTGGAAGGATGACTTACTCCAGACTTTGCATGCCTGAAACCTAGTGACTTCACACAACTCCCTTTCAGTCCGTCCCATCACTAAAACATACAGATACTACTGGATGGGAAGGTTTTCAGGTCCTTCTGGCTGCGACTTTAGACATGGCAAAATAAGCTGTTCCAAGACAAACACACAGGAAATATCCTTTACCTTGGTCTGGTTCAACACTGCTTTTAGCATCCAACTCCTCAGAGAGCGAGCTTTTCAGAGAAGGCCTGAAGACTCTCTCTTGAGTGCGGTACTCTTCCAACTCAGAATGAAGCTCGTCAATCCGGTCTTGCAATTCCTGGTAAAAGCATACCACGGTGAAGATGACCACATCACCAAGACAGAAATAAGCCATACATACATGCACAAATGACAGGACACTCTGGAGCAGATTATTCTGACATCAAGACTGACCATGTCTTAGAGAAGTGGTAGTCATTCACCCATCTGCAAACTTACAGACATATTGCTCAGAGTTGCTTGTGATGTTGCCGCTTGGATGGGTGTTGAAACAAAACCTTCTTGATACTGGTCACCTACACTTTGATCATGAAACGTGCTATGTTGCAAGACTATATTATGTGGTTTCCTCAGAGACATTGGGTGTTGGCTACAACCAAGGTTGGGGATTTCAACTGGGCTGTACTGATGCTCCTGCTGGGACTTAAAGCAGGACCTTCCTGCCCAAGAGGGTCTTGGTCCTCTGCTCAGGGTCAGACCGATGCCAAACTACTTCACAGTTAGGGCGGCTAGGAGCTGGAACCAACTTCCAAGGGAGGTGGTGCTGGCCCCTACCCTGGGGATCTTTAAGAAGAGGCTGGATACTTACCTGGCTGGACTCATTTGAGTCCCGTTTTTGTTTTTAGGGTGAGTGTTTTTTTTTGGGTTTTTCTCCCGCCCTGGCGGGGGGTCGGGCTAGAAGATCTATTAGGTCCCTTCCGACCCTGAAACTATGAAACATTTGGGGTCAGGAAGGAATTTTACCCCATGGTCAAATTAGCATGGACTGGGACGGGTTTTGCCTTCCTCCATAGCAGGGCAGGGGAGGGTGCAGACTCTGTCTAGCATCTCTTGAGCGTATATTAACAGCCTGTTACAGAAGCAGGACTTTGGCTGCTGTGGTTCCCCTGCTTTATCTGTGGCAGGTTCAGGTGCGATGTCTTGGGTTGCATCAGGGCTGATGGCCATTTTATGAAGAATGACATTTATGGATTGTATGGGATGGTCTGGATAGGGATAATCTTGCCTCAGGCAGGGGGTTGGACTAGATGACCCAGGGAGGTTTCTTCCAGCCCCACTTCTCTCTGATCCTAAGCTCCTGTAAGTATGACCGGGCTTTTGGTTCTCTCTAGAGACTGTCAAAAAGATGCTCATCAATATTACCGATGGTGGTGGTGATGCAGCATAACATTGAATTGCAATCCAACTTATTTCAAAAGGGCACCCAACAGCTAGCAGATTCCTCTGTGACAGACTGGGGGAGGATGAAGGGCTGGCAAATGCAGACAGCCCTGCACCCATCCCTAATCACCTCTGAGGATACGTCATCCCCTTGGGCACGGTTATGTCCCTGAGTAGCCACCTGCCGACACCTCAGAGAAGCATTTTGGGTCACAAGGCTTGGCTTAGTCCCAGATCATTATTGCTTATGTTATAAAACAGCCATCGTGTTAGTCCCTGCTAAAGAATCCTATAAGAACGGGGTATGAAACAGAGAACCAAGCTAGTTTGCCAGGAGGGCCACAAGCTCTTAGTTGAATAGATGGGTAAGGATGGTGAAATTGGGGGCATCCTTCCCTTCCAACTTGTACTTACTCTGCACTGTTGCTCATACTCCATTTTCATTTGAACCAGTCTCTCCTCCTGAAGGAAGAACTCTGCAGTGCTGGGATCAAGATCGCCAAACTGCAACATAGCAGGACAACAATCCAGGTAAGTCTTCTGTGAATAACCTTACCTCTGATATCACAGCCCGGCTTCGATCCCCAAGTCTGACTGTCAGGCTATGGGGTGGCTTATTTGCCTTTTTGTCAGAGGGCGCAGAACAATTTTGCGTTGAAAAAAGACCAGAACCATTTCCTTGGCAACGGGTGAATTGCTATTTCACAGAGTCACGGGGTTATTTCACACCTAATTTCCTGGCTTAGTTCCCTGTGAGTTGCTTTTTATTTTTGGTAAATACCTAATGTAACTATAAAAAGCAGCGTAATGAGGCAACTTTTCCTTGATTAAGTTGGATTAAAGGCAGATTCCCCCTGTTATACCCTTTCAGGATATTGGCACAAACTTGTCAAGTGACAGTCGAGGGAATGACAATTCTCAAATGACTGCAGTCAGCTATAGCAACCCCGTGCCAAACCCTTCATCCCAAATTTCAGCTAAGATTTCGTGTCACATCATTAATTTAAGGCAGGATCCAGACAGGTACGTCTCTGTGAATCTTCTCCTGCGATAAAGAACCGTAGAAAAATCAGCCCTGCAAAGCGCACACCTGGCTCCCCTGTGACTCGAAAAAACGGCTGGCCCACTTTCAGACGCTGTGCTAAATATTAAATCAGAATCTGAATCATCAGTAATTTTCATAAATTAGAGCTCAGCCGCAGCTGTTAATGCAATCCAAGGAAGCTGCATGACTCAGCAACCTCGTTTAATCAAGTTTCGTTGGTTGGTTGCCGCGAGGGGTGTGTGCTGCTAGTTGAACCGCCGTCTCGACAGGAACGGTTTCTCTGGCATCACGAAGTCAGTTCAGATACATCAGGGAAGGACCAGGATTCACCTTCTCTGCAAGGACGTTCTCCAAGTTCCTCTGCAGCTTGCTCGTCAGGCTCTCGCACTCGGCCAGCTTCTCCCCAGTTTCCAACAGCTCGCTCTCCAACCGTCCGTTTTCCTGGAATAGAAAAAAAACTTGACAGCTCTGTGTTTTCACTTTCCAAAGAGCAACTCCTCCAGAAGTCACCCCAGGTGATAGGCAAGGAAGCGGTATATCCTGCCTGGAGTGAAGGCCAAGCCCAAGTGGATGGCGACCCTCATTAATATACGTAGGTAGCTATAATTTGTTTCATCCAGCCCAACAGGGAGCTCTAATTCATTTCATCCAGCCCAATGCACACCAGAAGTTATTCTCTCACCAGGCAGCCTTGCATGCCTGCCCCCCCTTGAACTTACGTGGGCCTGAAACTGTGACCAACTGTGGCCAGCGCTTCGTTACCTTCAGGGCCAGGGTGAGCCGGTCCCGGAGGTAGTTCTCTTCTGTTTTCAGCTTCTCCATTTCCTGCTCCAACTCCACATGCTGCTTACCAGCCTGCTGCAAAATCTGCTCCCGCTCTCTCCGGAGTTCATTCTTTAAAGCTGCAATGCGCTCTTTGTACTCCTCATCCAGCTTCCTGCGCAAGCACACAGAGGAGAAAAGCCTTTAAAAGGAGCCAACAACTAAGGAGGGAGCTTAGTAGCGACAGGTTGGGAGCAGCCGGCTCTTAGAGCAACACGCTTTCCCTGCTCCGTGGTGGGGCGAGTGGGGAGCCAGGGGATTAATGCAGTTCATTGCAAAGCAGCCACGTGTGTTGTGCATCCTGAACGACTGTACTGAGCAATCGCGTGGCCTTTGTTTTGCAGAGACACCATTTATAGGGGGAATCTGATTCTCTCCTCACACATCTCCATTTGAGAGTTCAACTCAAAATTAAAGTTCATTTTACAATCCCCCATCCCGCCGGGTGCCAATTAGCCAGGGAGATAAAACAGGAGAACAAGCACCGGAGCCATTCCAATGCAAGGATGAGATACCAGAACCGAGGAGGGAAGCACCCAGTTGAAACCAGTTTGCAGAGAGCTCAGAGGTGTCCAGGAGCAGTGGAAGGTGATGCTTTGTAAGGAGGAATATGGGACAATCTTTAGCATAGCATCATGCAAAATTCAGCCTGAAGATGGGTTCAAGCAATTTTTTGAATTGGTCCAGCCACACATACACGCACTCCCCGCCACACACCCTTCCTTTGCAAAATAATGACCTCATTGTTACTGGTTACAACCGCTATTGTACTCCTGTAAAGAGCAAGTCGGACACGCTGTAGTTAACCGTGCCCTGCACGTCCTCCCCGTAACTGGTGCCCCGGGCCGGCAGGAGGCCGTACCTGAGGTTGTATTCATTCCTCCGTTCAATCGCGGCATGGTGGTCATCCACTTCTGAGGCCATTAGAGATTTCAGCCTCTCTGCTTTCTCCAAGTCTGACCGCAGCTTCTCCTTCTCTCTGACCACCTGGTCAACTCGCTCCCTGCAAGACAGGGTGATTGCTTTGGATGATACGACTGTTCCTGGCTCCCAGCCCTCCCATGGGGGACATCCCTCCTGCCTTCACCTTGGTGGTGGATCCAACCATCTTGCACCATCCATCTCCTTTCTTAATTCCCCAGCGAGCCACTCCTCCCCTCCACGTAGCAGGTGGGGCAGCGAGCGTGCTCAAGTGCTTTTCTGCCGCAGCCTGCTCAAACCTCGCCGGCTAGGGCCGATCAGCTTAGGAAGCATTCGGTCATCCACATGGCCAACTCACCTTCTGCCCCATTTGCTTGCCATTTTGTCGTACCCACACCCTAAATGCTTGGCAAGGGAGCTTTCCTTCCTGGAGGGCACTAGATTAAAAATCTCTTCCAGCACATCTCACCACCCACAAAGGCAACACAGTGAAAACCAAGTCAAGTGGCAGATTTATATTGCTATATTTTCCTGGCATGAAAAAGCCCTGCATGACAGAATGGGAGGATAGCTACAAGACACTAGCATGAGAGAAGTTATGGATGTTGAACACAAAACACAGGCGGAAACGTGTCAAAACTCATCACCCTCAGCCCTGGAGCAGTCACATTGGTGTGCTCTGTGGGCATTAAACTGCTGTTTCCCTGGAGCAGGGAAGTCTTGTGTGTTAAGTATGAGCAGGGGTGTAGGTTGTAGCTGTGTTGGTCTAAGGGCATAGGCAGACAAGGTTATTTGGGTAGGTGTGATATCATTTATTAGACCCACTCAAATAGTTGAAAGAAATTCTGGTTTGCAAGCTTTTGGGCACAAACACCCTTCGTTAGGCTGAGGGTGTGAGCACCTGCAGTTGATCATTCATCCATGAAGAGCACCCATCCACGGCCAACTGCAAATGCTTCCTCAGCCTGACGAAGGGTGTTTGTGCCTGCAAGCTCGCAAAGAAGAATTTGTTCCAACTATTTGAGTTGGTCTAATAAGAGAGATCACATCTACCCAAAGAACTCAAGTATAAGCACACCTTCATGGAAAGTCTTGGTTTCCATCTTCCTATGTCAGCTCTTGCAACACCCAAACTAACGAGGAATTTAAGTCTGCGCTGACAAAGAATCCTAGAGCGCTATCCCTTCACACGAGCACTATGCATCCGTATGAGATTTCCAACCCTTGCTGGAGAGGTGCACTCTGAATTTTGGATTCAGCAAAATTAGCTACACACCTACTTGACCAAATATCTGGGGGCGGGGAAGGAAGACGAATGGTCTTCCCAACTTACAGTAAATGCCTGATCTCGGTTTTGAAGCTGGCCAGCGCTGCCTGGTAGATCCCATTCTTAGTAATCAAAAGCTCGTTTTCCAGAGCCAAAGTGAGCTCTGTCAGGTTAACCTTTCCATCCAAGCTGAAATCCAAGGCCTGTAAAGACAACAACACATGAGAACAGGACAAACATCACTTCGGCAGCAAAAGAACAAGAAAGAAAGGATGCTAGGAGAACCCAGAAGCATCCTCCCCTCGCTGGTGAACCTATTCCAAATGGCTTCTCTACAATGGCACCAATATCTTCCTTAAAATCCCTCACACAACTGAATCGTTGCTGCAGCGGGAAGAAGGGGACACGGGTGAGATGTCTCATGAGACCCACAGGGAGTGGGGTGCATGTTACTAACCAACATGGCAGGTGAACAGGGGGGTTGTTCACTGTGGATCTACACTGTTGCAACAATTTTAACATTTAAAGGCTGCAAGGTGTATGCCTGGAAGTGATCTTCCCAAATGCAAAAATAAGTGTTTCAGTAAAACCATTAGAGTTAGGTTAACTTGAGTGTGAGCTATTAATTAAAAAAAAAATTGTTTCTCTTTTACAGCAAAGGTGTCACCTTCTTTTAGGGCACAAACCACCACCCGCAACTCCTTGATTAAAAACCATGCTATCTGCCTCTGCGAGTATTACACTTGCAATTTAGGCTCAAGCAAATTCCAGTCTGCAAAAATTTTCAGACATTACTTTAACCTTTGAGTACTGTAACTACAGCATTGATTGTATGAACTAAAAGCCTTCTATTGGCAGCTATCTCCAGTGTCCATGAGAAGTGCCAAGAATAAAAATGCAGGAAGTCTTCCTTTAAGCTTGTCCACTCCCTAGACAGGGAGTCTGGAAAGCAAGAGTCCAGACATCTGCTTTGCAATGTATGTGACCAATGTTGCCCTCAGACTATGAAACCTGAATGGAGGTGCCAGGTTTTCCAATCCTACCTTCCGTTTTGGGATATGCAACCATTTAGGCCATTGGCCTGCTTTTAAATATTTGCTTTTGCAAATTCAAGTATTTGGACACCTCAAGAACCTGGACCACCCAACTTCAGACATGGCAGAAACCTCTGCTTTTTCCTTCCTTCCACTGCTCGGTGTACGAGAGTTGCATTTCTTTAAAGTCTCAGGAAGTTACCATGGAGATCCAGCATCCCTGCTGTTGCTCACATCGAGTAGTTTCAAGTTAAAAATAGAGAGGCAGGAAAAACATGCAGAATTTAAAAAAAAAAAATGCCACGCAGGTGGGCAGGGACCTATCGAGTTACCTTCAGGATTTCGTGGCTGTTTTCAATCCCCTCTTCATGCCACGTGTCAAGTATCCGCTCAACACACGCATAGCCCATGCCATCGTCCAGGCTGGAGAAAACTCGAAACCCAATTGTGCTGGTCATGGCTGAGGGGGTCGTGGTGCGTCTCCCACTCTCATCAAAGGACTGGGAGGAGAGAGGAAGAGATGAGATTCTGCAAAAGATTGGACAGATCTCCCTTCCTCTTCCCGCAGCCGCCACTAACTCCTATTCACATTGAGCAGAGTTTTCCTACTGACCGGGCTCTAAATCAAACTAGAAGCAGTACTCATTATAGCCTACTCCCTTCTGACCTGTGACTTTCTTACTTCCTGCTAGGGTGTTGCATTGCCTTTCCTCCAGAGAACACGCTTCATTTTGCAGCAAGAGAATGTCTTTGGATGCCTGTACACACCATGGGTTTAAATCCTCATTAAATTAAATAGGTTTATAAAATTTAAACGTGTTTGTTTTGGAGCGCTGCATCTGTGTTTACACGCACTAGGTTTTCAAACAAATTAAGCCTTGGAGCGTCGCGTCTGTGTTTACACACACAAGGTTTTCAAACAAATTAAGCTGGGTCCCTGGCCGGCACCACAGGAGAGCAGGATGGTCTAGTGCTGCCCCCTCTGGCCCAGGGCCCTCATTCACCCTGTGCCCATGCCCTGCCATGCAGCTGTGAAAACAGGGTGCTGGCACCCCACACAAGAAAAAGAGGAAGCAATTCAAAAGCAAAATCAATTCAAAGGGGTGGACTACAAAAAAGTTGCGGTGCCATCTGGTGGACAAAGAGGCTAATTACATGCCTTCGAGTGCCTTTGTGTTTGCACACAACAAATCCATGGACGCGAAGCTTTAATTCCCAGGGAGGCAAACTCAACTAAGTCTGAAGAGTTTTAGTTTAATGCACAAGAAAGACTTTTAAAGCATCGTAAAATCCCACTCATGCAAACAGACATGCATTTGCAGTGTGTACACGAGCCCTTTAGCTCTAAGTTACAGCTCTTGTCCCTAAACCTAAAACAAGAGGGACATCTATTCTGGGAACGCTCAAGCAGAGGCATTCAGGTGAGAGGCAGCCTGCCTGCAGTGGGAAAAGAGCCACCCAGAGCCACACATTCAGCACCCACCAAACTTCTTGGGAAGGCACCTATTATTTAAGGAGCTTTGAGTAATGCTCCTTGTTTAATGTGCTGTCACAGAATCCAGGGAGAGACAGTGAAATGCTATCCGCCGTCAGGCAGACAGCGTGCCTGACCAATGCAGCATTAAAATGACAAACCCCAATTAAAAAACCAATCTAACAATCATCTATTTCCTCAACCTTGGAAAATTAATACCGTTAAGGTCTGCAGTTCAATCTCATGAACCCATTTCCCAGAGATGTACTATTCCGTGTTTCTCACCTGCATGGAAAGGTGCCTCTTCAGCTGTCTATAGGGGGTAGATGCTGATGGTGTGAGTGATTTTCCATTTTTAAATAAGCCATAGAAGAAGTCTTCCACGCTCATTGTGCCATCTTGCTCAAGATTATGGAATACTTCTTCGAGCACCTGAAAGCCATGGTATCCAGTCATACCTTTTACATCCATCTCAGAGCCACAACAAAGCGATATATAGCTGTAACACTTTTAGTGTAACAGAAACATGGTTCTGCCAGGTAAAGGCTAGTCTTCACTTAAACGATCAAACACAATATCACCCAAGAGTCTGTATCGAGCCACAAACGCCAGGATGACAATTACTGCTGAGAAAGCAAATCCCAAATACACCAAGCATGCTCGACTGAAATCTGTCTACTCGATCACTTCTCCCCTGTAACTCTCACATGCCTTCGCCCCGCTCTTAGCATCATTTAAGAAAGCCGCCGTCTTGAAGGGAGCATAATAAAAGAAATACCTATTGAAAGACATTTCTTCCATTATTGCTCCCAAGGCCTCGTTGTTACGAGGCTCTCAGAACAACTGATGTTGCAATAAAAGTGCCGAAACCTCATCAGCCAGCAGAATGCCTGAACAAATTGAAAGATGGTGCCAAATTAAAATTAAATCCCATTTAGCAAACAGATTGCCCTGAGGTAGTAAAGCATCATAGTTATTGCATATGAAGGTGTTTGGATTCTAATTTTATTTTCATCAGGTTGTTTGCATGATGCTTCAGCTTGACCGCAGAAGAGTCCCAAGCAGCCTCTTTTCTGGCTTTTCCACATTAACGGGATGCTGCCAAATCATCTCATTCCTTCAAAAACCAGGCTACATGAAACAAAATGATTTGTATTGTTATTTCAGGATTTACAAAACCCAGTTCTTGCGAGACCAACTGAAACCAACATGAATGTTTCTTTAAAACACTCAGGTTGGAAGGACTTTTGGTATCTTGGTGGGCCACAAATGCTGCCCCGGGGCGTTTGCCCGTAGAGTCCAAAGCAAATGTCTACTGATGCCTTGGTAAATGCTTTGCTTACTAAAAAGGAGGGTTTCACCTTTACCATTTGCTTCCTATTTAAAAAAAAATAAATAAAAATCACAGCTTTGGACTCATTTTAATGGAGAAACCATCACTATAGCTTTATTTAGGACTCTCACTCCCTTTTTATAAAGCCAACAGTGGGTAGTTCACCCATGTCAAGCTCATTAGGAAGCCATCAGCTGGGTCTCAATGGCCAGCTGTCAATCAACGCTCCCTTTTTAGGGTGCGTCAGTACAGATGCGCCGATTAGCGGAGATATCCCGAGACAGCCCTGCATGGCTAGCTCCAGAACCAGCACCAGTATAGCCATATCTGGCCGGGGCTGAGCCTGGACTAAGCGGCCCTACTTGGGTATCGTAGGTAGACTGTTCTGTGCCAGATGGACATAGCCTTAGAATTTATCATTACATTTGCTATAAGCATTATGGTAAACCATATGCTCAGAGAAGCATTAGACATTTTCCTAGTGACAGTAAGGATGCAAGAAGCCTCCCACCTCATGCCTGCCTCCCTCGGAAAGCAAACACCCACCTCGGTATCCACGTTCTGCAGCAGATATTGCTCACAAATAGAGACCAGCTTCTTCCTGTTCAGGTGACCATCCCTGGTGATGCCGAGGTGCTCACAAACCTCTTGCAGTTTTTCTTCTATCCAGTCTTGGGTGGGCGAAGACACGTTTTGTGAGGCGTTCAAGTCGTCTGGATTCCAAAATCTTAACTGGCCTGAAATAATCACAGTCAGACTTGCATGAATAAGGGGATCAAAAGACAGGAATATACATTTCAAATTACTCTGGGGCACCTTAACCAACTAGCTAATAGATTTGCTCAAATCTACCTTCCTGAGGGCTTTGGAGTCATGCCCATAGACACAGTATTTGAGCACTTATTTGCCAGGCCAGGTCTCTAGTAGTATTCACAGGAAAAGCTACATGGTTGCTATGCTCCATCCTAATCGGGGCAAGCCCAGGGGGTTGCTGTGTACTCCAGTGCCATCACCCTGACAGGGCTTTATCAACAAGAGAAGATCTTGCAAAGCATTTCAATTATATGTGACGTTCTGGACTTTTCAATCCGCCCTGCTCCAGAGGACCACGAGCTGCCTTGAAGATCAAGGAAAGAGCTATCGACTCCCACACAGCAGGGGCCTGAATTACATCAGGGCTTTGGAGGGTAGGACTGACGCCTTCAACTGACAGCAAATACAACCTGGGAGATAGGGCAGAGCACAAGCTCACTGTGCTAACCGCAGCCTAAACAAAGTGGGGGCGAGGGAGGGGGAAGCTTCATTTCTGTGCAAGCCGAGGCCTCATCCAGACATTTAGTTTCTCCTGGGAGAGTTGCTGCTCTCCCAGGAGAAGCCACAGATGTCCACATGTTCAAACTTTGTCTCCCAGAATAAAAATCGCTATTCCAGGAGAAATTACCTGGGAACAACCTGGTTTAAATTACTCTCAGGAGAGTTTCTTCTGGGAGAACGAATGAAGCCTCTTCTTAGCTTTATTCTCAATTTGTCCAGGCCGAAGAGGAAAATGGCAGGGGAATCTGGGGGAAGCCCTGGCTGGATTAGAGCAACAAAACAGTCCCCAATTGTCACCCCTTGTGCTAGAGCTCATTGTTGCTGTAACAGCTGCCACTCACGAAAACCACTTCAGAGCATGCCCCAGCCCCCAAATCAAACTGGGAAGCTTAACGATGCACCTTGTATTCACACTGGAAGCAAGCCCTCATCTAAATACTTCTCAATTTTAAGCCTCCAGCTGACTGCCCTTCCTCCACTCCAAGCAAATAAATTCAGTGCAGAGTTATACAAACGAAGGTGCTCAAACATTAAAAGGAGGTCACCGACAGGGGTAAACCTCTCACCTGTCAAGCTCCCACAATAGCTTAAATTCTCCCCTCGGTACCTGCCTCCCCCAGGGGGAATCTGAAGCAGATAATTTTGAGTGGCATTAAAGCCCCATGTAGATGCTTGTATTCAGAATGAAAGTAGACTTGATTCAGCTCAATTCCCTTCCAAGCTTCCAAAAGGAGCTGAGCTAAAAGTCAAAATCAAGGCCACTTTCACTCTGAATACAAGCATCTACATGGGGCTTTAATGCCATTCAAGATGATCTGCTTCCAATTTCTATTGGCCGTCGCTCAACTTGGAGCAGTTACTAGGACTTCTCCTGGCTGGTTCCCCTCGTCCCCACCAGTACACACTGGCAGCCCACTCTGACGGCCCGGCACTCAACGCAGGCAGGAGAGGAGCTCCCTCCATTTTCCTCCACACCTACATTTCTCCCCCCACCTTTTTTATTCATCACCTTGTTCATCCCAACTGAGAGCCTTTGGGATCAGGGCAATCATGCCCCACAGTGCTTGCGCAGTGCTTGGCACAAGGAGGCACTGATCTGGGTGGTAGCATAACCACTGCAGTGCCATATTTTTCCTCTCTTGCATGCTCCCTGGTTAACTGAACTGCATATAATTATAAACCCTACAGTAGAGGCACAGGGGCTGACGCTTTGGCTCACACTGACACCTGGTGGCCTTTGGACTCGACTGCAGTGCATGCCAGAGGGTATTTAGGGCTGTGACCCCTCTGAGCAGTCAGCATGCGGCACCCCCAGGACTCCCAGCACAGAAACCCCGAGCAGCAGGGCATCCCGGGACGCAAGGAGCCGGTCAAGAGGCAGGAGAAGATGCCAAGGAAATGGGAAAAAAAGCAAGGGGAAAGGGAAGGGTGGAAAAAACCCCAGACAGTTGGGTATGCAAGAATGAGAACAGATGAGGCAGCCTGCGAGGGGAACCATGCCATGGAGAGGGCTGGACAAGGACCAGTACTGCAGGGGCCAGGTGATGCAGGGCTGTTGGCTTGGTAGGGAGGCACAGCAGTCCCGTCTTCCTAGGTCCAGGGTCCAACAACGGACACAAACTGCTAGAAGATTGCTTCAGATCGGACATAAGGAAAAATTTCTTTATGGTTCAAGTGTCCAGGGTCTGGAACAGACTCCCCACAGAGGTGGTACAATCACCTATCCCAGAGCTCTTCAAAAAGTGACAGGATGCACACCGTGCTGGGGTCAGCCCAAGTGCAGGGGGGCTGGACCTGAAGATCTCCCGAGGTCCCTTCCAGCCCTAAACTTCTATGAATCCCACTGCAAGCGAATACAGTATTCCTGACCCCTCTGTCCTATGCCAGCCCCAAATCCCAGGCTGTACAGACCCAAACAGCAGCTACTGCCACTCTGGGGAGCAGGGGAGGCATTTATATGGGGGTAGAAGCAAGAGCTGGGAATCACTGGGCCCAGTTCAGTGCACGGGGATGCAGCACTGCATGAAACGGGTCTATCCCAGTGCCAAGGGCACCAGCAGTCTGTCGAGCCAAGGCTGCCAGCACCCACAACTTGACCAGGATGCACCTTGCGGCAAAGTCAGGCCAGGGCTGCCCTGGGAAGGCTGCCACCTTCCCCTCCCCGAGCTAAGAAACCCCTGTTCGGCCTGGCTCAGACAACTCCGAGGTGTTCCTGCCTAGCTGATCACAGCAGGCACCGATGCACTCCCACAGCTTCATAGAGGAGTTCGGCATTAGCCTGACCTTCGCCCTTCTACACATGAAGCCAGGCATTAAGCCAAGGCAGGCAAACAGCCTGCCCCAAAAGGCATTTTCCCCCTTTCAGAGAGCGAGTTTCCAAAATGCAGGCTCCAGCCCCACAAGTCAGGAAGGGCATGGGCTTCTGGGCCCCGAGACGCTGCAGGATCAGCTCCTAGGCTCTGCCCCACAACATCCCAGCCCTCGAGACACCAAAGAGCTCTCCTGAGAGCTAGGAGGGCCTGAAGCCAAAATCACCCCGAGAGCTCTCTGTTGTCACGTCCCCATGCATCGCCCTTCCACTCTGAAGGGATCAAGCGGCAGCTTTTGTTCGTGCTCACCTTCTGCTTCGTACTCCTCACTGTCCTGAGTCTTCCAGTGCTAAGGGGGAAGAAAAGAAAGAAGATTCCCTCAGTCATTATTATTCCAAGACGGCACATGTGTAAAAGGGAATTCACCAGCAACATCAAACGAGCTACAGGATTCCAACAATGCCGGCGTGCTTTCATCTTGGCAGTCTCCTGGGCCGAGCTGTCAATCCAAGCCTGCTTGCAGAGGTCCATTTATAGTGCCTCTTCGAAGGTATTTCAAAGAAGGCTTTTGCTATGGACATTTCAAAATAAAAATCACTTACAAAAAAAAAAAAAAAAAAAAAAAAAAAAAAATCAGCGTCAAGGTATCTGGGAAAATAAAGAGGTTTGAAGATGAGCTGGACAGGGTTCAGTTAAGTCAGTCCACAGCAAGGGGGACTTTGTTTTTAAGGAGCTCTTTTAAGCAAAGAAACCCATTTATGTTTGAAGGGTGCACAGGGATGTTAAGGGGAGAATATATATCAAAAAGGGCACAAACGCTGTGCACAGTCCTGGACTTCTAGAAACAAGGGACTGGATTATTTGAAAACCCTCTCTCTTTTGCCTTCACAGTCTAGGGCAATCCAGTATGACTAGCCCTCGCAAACACCCCCTAACCCATGAAACACCCCCTCATCTCAGCAGCAGTGGGGACTGTCATCATTTTATCCAGGACTCGGGTCTCAAGTGCAAAACCCTCCTGCACCACATCTGCACGCAGCATCAGCAGCACATCTTTGGCGTCGGCCTCAGAGGCGGTGGAGCCAGCAGCTGTGTACTCATGTGTAAGCCCCATCTCTACCAGCCCGGTGCACTGGGAAACGTGGGCCACAAATTAGCGCTGCACCCACCCGAGTGCCACTTCCACCCCCTTCTCAATCTGCTGCTCTGCTTTCTGCCCCTGCCTTGTGCTCCATATGCCCCATTTGTTCTGCTTCCTACTCCCTGCCTGATCTGCTCCGCTTTCTGCCCCCTGCCCTGTGCTCCCCGGTCGATCCGCTGCTCTGCTTTCTGCTCCCAGCTGTCCCTGATCTGCCACGTGCCACACACAGGCTACCCATGCCACCGGTCAGCCACCCTAGCGTGTCGCAGGCAGCAGCAGAGCTCCCCGTGCTCCGTGACAGTCAATGCACCATGTTTTATTTACACTATTTAACAAGCGCTACGCAGGGGTGTCTCAACACTGGCACCCCCAGTCAACCAAAGGGGCTTGCCCTTGCTCATCCAGGCACCATACACAAAGCCCAGGACCATCAGCTGCAATATCCAACGGCAACATTAGCAGGGGTTACTTTTCCCACAGTCAAAATGATGCGCACAGAGGAGTACACCCATGTGACCAAACGCATTTAGATTCAAGGACACAAGGAAGCTCTAAATCATTATATAAAAAAAAGTTTAATACATCTCGTTCAGATTACAGTGAAAAGCTGTTAATCTACAAGGTTACCATGGACACTGGATGAGGTCACTGTCCTTTTTTTAGCACCGGCTCCTGCCTCCGTTTCATCCTCTGGGGATCACAAAAACTGCAGCTCCTACCACTCGTTCAGGGCTGAGGGGTGTGCTACAGAGAGGAGGCAGTGGTGGCAATGTGGTGTGGGTGTGCATGTTTTGGGGCTGGTGGGGAGGGGGGAAGAGAAGGGGAACAGGAGTCAAGGGTTTTAGCAAGGACTCCCAATAAAGAACGAATACATGGAATAAAATTCAAAAATATCCTTAAAACATGTGAAGGAAAGCTTCCACAGTCTCAAGCACACTAGACTGGGTGCATGTGTGTGTGTGTGTACGTGCACATGTATACTGCTTTCATAGTCTCAAGCACATTAGACTGGGTGCGTGTGCATGTGGGTAGCTTCCAGTCTCCAGCACACTAGATTGAGAGTGTGTGTGTGTGTGTGTGTGTGTAGAACTTCCAAAGTCTCAAGCACACTAGACCGGGCGTGTGTGTGTGTGTGTGTGTGTGTGCGCGCGCACACACACACACACGCCCGGTCTAGTGTGCTTGAGACTATGAAAGCAGTATACATGTGTGCGCGCACACATGTATACTGCTTTCATAGTCTCAAGCACACTAGGCTAGGTGTGCATGTGTAGCTTCCACAGTCCTAAGCACACTAGACTGGGTGCGTGTAACTTTCAGTCTCAAGCACACTAGATTGAGTGTGCACATGTGTGCATGTGTGTAGAGCTTCCAAAGAGTCTCAAGCACAATAGACTGGGTGCATGCGTGTCCATATTTGCAGCTTCCACAGTCCCAAGCACATTAAACTGGGTGCATGCATATGTATATTTGTGTATGTGTGTAGCTCCTGCAGTCCCAAGTACACTAACCTGGGTGCGTGTGTATGTCCTCCTTGCATGCGTGCGTGTCCTCCATGTGCATGTGTTTGCCCTCCGTGTGTGTGTGTGTGTGTGTGTGTGTGTGTGTGTGTGTGTGTGTGTGTTCCAAAGTCTCAAGCACACTAGACTGGGTGCACATGTGTGTGTATGCATGTATCTGTATGTATATGTGTAGAGCTTCCAGTCTCCAGCACACATGTGCATATACATGTGTGTGCATGCGTAGCTTCCAGTCAAGCACACCAGACTGGGTGCGTGCGCGTTCAGAGAATGAGAAAAGTCCTTGGCCGATCTCTCCGCTGATGGTCACGCACACGCTCTCCCCCTTGGTGAACATCGGTGGTTCCACTTTGCCTAAACCCAACTTATCCCAAGCTCCCCACAGAAGTGTGTTACTGGCCCTTGGTTAGTAGCTTCACCTTCTATTCATTTTAATTTTCATACAAGCTGAAAAGTCCATCGGCTACTCAATCGGCAGCTTGCAGCAAATATACCATTTGAAGCTCCTATATATGCCCAGCAGTCACCTCTACCTCCTGGGGCCAAGCCTGAGCCAGCTCCAGGCTTCATGCCTGTCCCCTGGCATCCTCCCCTAACTTTTCTTGGACGGCAAAGGCAACTGGTTAGCAGATAACTAGATTTGGAGGTCTGGCTACGAGGAATCTCTTGCACGTCCAGTTCCAAAATGTTTCCATACAAGCGGCGTATCTTCCCCCCACCTCCCTTTGAAAGAGTTGAAACTAAGCCGGTTAGCTTCAGAAAGTGTTGCAAGACCTCATTCAAAGAGCACAAGGTAATTTCGTAAATCCAGAGAGCTGAATAGAGATCTGAACACCTGTCACCCCTGTTGTGTGCCGATAATCAATTGTTACAGGCACCGCGAGCCCGACTCCTACAATAATTCGCTTCATCTGCGGGCGCTCTCCGCTGCCTCCCGGGCCCTATTGTGTCGGGCTGCTGCGGCGGCTGCATCAGCTGGCGGGACCCTTTCCGCACGCTTCTTGATTACCATGCTGAATGCTCGACAAGAGCCGCTTTGTGAGCAAGGGGCGCGAGGGGTCAGAGGTCAAGCAACGCCAAAATGGCTGCCCCAGAAGGCAGCCAGCGTATTTCAAGGAGACAAAGGGAGATGTCCATCGGTGCTGTGGACCGTGCATCTCAATGTCACGCACGGCATTGTTCGGCGGCTCGGGATTGTCCTACAGCTGGATGTGGGTCACACACATTACTGAGCCCGTGCGCAGAAGGCAGAGATTTTAGGAATGCATTATTTTGATCGACACATGCTTTGCCGGGCTGAAGAGCAGATGGCCCGGGTTTTCAATGATCGCTGCCTTCCAGCTCCGAACCCGCGCGAGCATCTGCAGCCCGTGCCGCTGGCTCGCCGTGGCCTCTCTCCATAATAACTTAGCAACCCCTCTCCCACCCTGCCATCTGCTTCAGCGAGACGGACCTTTGTTCTCCGGCAGAATATACTGCTAATTAAAACGATGATCAGGGGCGCACGCTGGGCCTATTCAAGCTTGCACATGCCGAGGTGAGCCCTAGCGCCACTGTTTACAACCAAACTTCTCCGTCTTTGCTGAAGGATCAGCTCTCGGAGGAAAGCACCCGGAACAAAGATGCCCCGAACTGGAGCGCTCCTCTACTTGCAACACAACGTACATTCGCTTTCCACCACGGAAAGCCACAGCCACGGCCCTGCAGGGCATCGCAATGCAAACACCGTTTAGAAACAAACACTCAAGCAATGATTAGCCGCCTGCACTTTAGTTCGTTAAACCTGCTTCCAACTGGTGCGTGGGAACGCTGAAGACTTGAAGTAAGAACATAACGGGTCAGACCAAGGGTCCGTTTAGCTTGGTATCCTGCCTCCGGCAGGGGCAGAAATGGATGCTAGAGAGGGAGAGCACCCGACTGAATCTCTCTAGTGATCTATCCCTTCTTCGGTACTTTGCTGGCACCCACCATTTATCGGGTTAGAGGTGCCAGAGGAAACACGGCTCCCCACTCTCTGAAAAGTTTTATCCCCTCCCTCATCGCCTTTGGGGACTCAAAACATGCAACTGGCCCCCCTTGACCGGGAGCAGAGTGGCTCAGGAATGGAAGATTTTCCGGCTCAACCAGTCTCTTGATACAAGGGAGAGAAAGACATCCCAAACGAAAGGATGCATTGAAGCTGCATCCCAGTTCTGCACTTCTTTCTCCACAAAGCACCCACCTTCTGCAACCCCACACCTCAGCCTGCTGCAAGAAACAAGGCAAAAAGTCCCGATTTTAGCTGCCTCTGTATTGGCGATGCATCAGCAAGACCCCGACCCTGGGTTGTGCCCATGCTGCCCGCTCACTACAGTATCTGAATGCCCTCTGGGAGAAAGGTGGCTTCAAACCACCCTTTCTTCCCTGGCGGCAGGGACAAGCTTCCAGCTTTTGGCAAAGAAAAAGCGTCTCCCCTCCTGCCTCTCAGGGCTGTGGGGATGTCTCTATCTAGCAGCTCGTGGGTCTGGTGCGTGCCCCCCACCCCCGTCATTGAGAGCTTTGCTTTAAAACAGTGGAGCCAAAGGGCCATGGACGCTGCCATCGGAGAGGGTGAGGCAACCCGCCAGGGAGCCGGGCTTTGGAGGGCAGCGCAGGGGCGCTGGAGCAGCTTTGGTGCAGGGGAGAAGCAGGGTATTGGAAACCCGGGCATTGAGTTAAGTCCTGGCTATTGCAGCAGCCAAGCCCAGAAGTTGCAAAGGAGGAACCACCCGTGGGCAGGTGAGTGTTACCCCGTGCTGGGCACAGACCCTGGCAGCCACAGAGAGAAGTCAGTTTTACCACCAGCTTAGTCTCTGCCAGCCCAACCGTGGGGCACAGTCGGAGCGCCCCTAAGCACAGGGTCCGGCCAACAGCTGATCAATCCCAGGCACAGAAGTAAGTTGGGTCAGAAGACTTTGGCACGACCGGCCAGTCTAACAGCCCCCGGCTGCAAGAGCTGTGCTAGATGTTGCCCCCTGCCATGTGCCTTCAGAGCAGCAAGGCGCTCATGGGGCAGCAGGTTAAAAGCTGAGATGGCAATTGGTTTTTAAAGCCTTCGTCTACGTACCTGCAGTTTTGATTAGCACTTACCTTCCCCAGGGCAGTGAAAACCACTCGTGCTTCTCGTGTCCCAGTGAACTTACACACTAAGTAGAGGGAGGACGGCGGCGTCTCATAGAAGGATTAACCCTCTCCACGCCACCAAGCAG